CTTTTTCAGTTTTTGACATTTCTAGGAGTTCTATATATTTTTAAAAAAACCGCAATCAAAAAAAAGTTTTATCAGACGAATTAAAAATTCGTCCATAGAAAATGTAGGGAAAATAATTGCGGATTTTTTGAGATATAGAACTCCTAGAAATGTCAAAAACTGAAAGAGGAGATAGATTTTTTCAAAATTCTGAAATTATGGTTTTAGACCTGCAATTGTGATCGCGCCAAACTTTTTTCTGTAGATCAAAAATTAATTTGCAGTTCGGAATTGTTCTGTGGAAGAAATGTCAAAAACTAGAAATGTCAAAAACTGAAAGAAAAGATAGATTTTTTCTGTAAAAAACTTTCAAAAGTGACCATTTTTGACATTTTTTCTTCCGGAAAAGGACCATACATGAATCTATAACCACTAATTAATTTTTTAAAAATCATTTGAATCATTTTGGAACTCTACAAAATCAGATAAAAAATTCTGAAATTATGGTTTTAGACCTGCAATTGTGATCGCGCCAAACTTTTTTATGTAGATCAAAAATTAATTTGCAGTTCGGAATTGTTTTGTGGGAGAGCGTGCGGCTCTTCGTTGTAATCGTCGGATACTAGATAAATTAATGCTCTCTTGCTCATTCGTACGGGTAGGGGTTCACCACTCAATATGGCGTCACGACGATTTCATTTTCACTCTAATCAATCTTCAAGCTATGTTTATAAGGCATTTTTGTATAAATGTTTTTTTCAATTCAATCGAAAATGTGTTGGACAACTTTATAAAACGAGCTTTTAGGTTTTAGCTGTTGGAACAGAGACGGAACGTTTCATATGTCATTTTGACTGAAAAATAAGGTAAAATTCAAAACTGCGAAAACTGTTTTTTTTTTGAAAAAACACTCTGATAGAATGACCCCCTTTCAACTTTGAGCCAATTTATCTCGATTCATATAAGAGCTGTTAAAATTTGGTCAACCATCAATATGTTGGTGATAATATGATACACGTTCTGTCAGTTGACCACTTTTTTATATGTTTCACAGGAAATTAGATATATAGGTTCAAAGTGGACGGTTTGTTCATCATAATGTCACAAATATTTTATCAGTTGACGACATTTTATATCTTTCTCAGGAACCAAAATATATGGGCTCAAAATAGCGATTTGGAGGGCACTATATTAGGATGTTTACGGTATATCAAGTTTCGAGCACCAGAAAAAAAATCCCAAAAAAAGACCCCAAAAACTTCACCCACTAATAAATCGTGAGAAAATTATATTGCTTCAGAATAAGCAAATTCTTAGAAAAACAAGACCTCCCGTACAGGAAATATAAGCCAAAAAATATGGTGTGTTAATATGAGACTTTTGCACATATGTGTCACAATTTGAGAATATCAAAACAAGAGGAGGAGGTAACAACATATATAACTCATTTCTCGGTTTTCCTTTGCACACATGGAGTTGGAGAAGAAGAAGAAAAGGATAAAAAAAGGAGAAGATGTGATTCCTGTGTGTGTGTGTGTGTGTGTGCATCTCTGTGCTAATGAAGAGGAAGAGGGTAGTAGTAAATGGAGAGTAGGACGAAAACAGGGGGGGACAAGCTTAGAAGTTAGAAGACGTCCTCCTTCAGAAGACATCGGGGATGATGAGACGCCGCCACAAATTCCTCATACATTCCGTGCGACGAGGCATTTTGGAGGACTTCTTGGAGAAATGATGACGATGTGATTCTCTATTTAATGAAGGGGAGAGAAAAATGTGTGTGCTGACATAATAATTGCAGACGAGGACCAAAAAAGTGCAATGGTGGTTTTGTACTTTTTGGATTAGTGACGAAACCCTTCTGCTTGGACATGTGAGAATATTGAGGATTTTGAGCTTCGAAAGTGGAAGAAAAATGCGAAGAAAAATCTTGTGATTTTGAAAAGTGAGACATTTCATTTCGAAGTTTATAAGGGTTATTATTTGTAAAAGGGCGAAGTGGGAAAGTTTGAGAGATTGGTAAGCTTTTGAAGGAGCATAGAGGGAAATTTAGAAGTATAGGAAGCCTTTGGATTCTGAATGACACGTCATGGAATTCTAGGAACCTGAGATTCTGAAATTCTGAAATTTTGAAAATCGGAAATTGGAAATATGGAAATCTCTGAAATCTCTGTAATCTATGAAATCTCCGAAATCTCTGAAATCTCTGAAATCTCTGTAATCTCTGAAATCTCTGAAATCTCTTAAATCTCTGAATTCTTCAAAATTCTGAGATTCTGAGATTCTGAGATTTCAAAATTTCATGATTCTGAAATTCCGAAGTTCACAGATTTCTAGATTCTTCTAAGATTTCTGATTCCAAGGTTCTGAGATTCTTAGATGCCGAGATTTCAAGATTCTGAAATTTTGAAATTCCGAGATTCCGAGATTCCGAGATCCTGAGATCCTGAGATTCTGAGATTCTGAAATTCTGAAATTCCGAGATCCTGAGATCCTGAGATTCTGAGATCCTGAGACCCTGAGATTCTGAGATTCTGAAATTCTGTAATTCCGAGATCCTGAGATCCTGAGATTCTGAGATTCTGAAATTCTGAAATTCCGAGATTCTGAAAAGATTCTGACAAAGAGATTCTGACAATCTGAAAATCTGAAATTTTGAAATTCTTAAGTTCTGAAATTCTGAAATTCTGAAATTCTGAAATTCTGAGATTCTGAAATTCTGAAATTCTGAGATTCTTAGATTTTTAGATTCCGAGATTTCAAGAATCTGAAATTTCGAGATTCCGAGATTATGAGATTCTGAGATTCTGAGATTCTGAGATTCTGAGATTCTGAGATTCTGAGATTCTGAGATTCTGAGATTCTGAGATTCTGAGATCCTGAGATTCTGAGATTCTGAGATTCTGAGATTCTGAGATTCTGAGATTCTGAGATTTTGAGATTCTGAGATTCTGAGATTCCGAGATTCTGAGATTCTAAGATTCTGAGATTCTGAGATTCATCAATCAGGCCAAAAGTCCGAAAACCCTTGACATACCAAAAAAAGTTCTAGTCTAAAATTTTGTTCTCGATCTCATGCCACGTGATCAAACTCCGAAATCCCATGATTCAGCGTAAATTTTTTGTAGATCGAAATCGTGCCATCTCAACATCCATGCGTCAGCCCCATGGCCAACGCTGATTCAGCATTCATATTTCCATAAATCACCTGACTTCTGTAATCCTACGATGATGTGTGTGCATCTCTGTGCTAATGAAGAGGAAGAGGGTAGTAGTAAATGGAGAGTAGGACGAAAACAGGGGGGGACATCTGGTGGAAAGAGAACACATCTGGTGGAAAGAGTGGCGACTACTCAAACCCACAAACTAATAAAACTTGTCAAGGACCACCTGCCCAATGTTCGGATCCAGTTCACGACCGTATTAGATCTATCACCGGATACTGTAACAATCGTGGAAAGCCAACACATCCTTGACTTTTCAAAACCCACCCCCACACGCAGTTTTCGAACAAGTTGCTCCAGCTGAGACAACAATCCAAAGGGACACCAGTATCAAGACCTCCGCCTGTCTGTATAAAATGTCATCCGTGAAACCTTGATCTTCATACTTTCCACATTTGTATCATCCCCAAAAAAATGCGGACATCATTTATTGTATTTCTAGCTGCAACATTCTCTGTTACCCTAGCTGCTGTTACTGATGAAACTAGACAAGCTGTCCAGGACGCACTGTTCCAAGCATTGAACAGTGTCGATTCTGCCTTAACCTCCGAGCCATCTGTTGCTGATGGAGCCATCATCTCATCTCAAACCGCTAATGAAGAATCAAAGAAGCTCCAGTTTACAGGAGACGTTCTGGAAGTTGCCACCCAGATTTTGATCCAAAAATATGGAGTCTCTATTCTCCCAGACGCCAATGAAGTGCTCAATGAGCTCAACGCAGGAAACACTGAAGCCAGAAAGAAGAGAAGTGTCGACAGCCTGGAGGAGGTTTCCGTGGAAGATTCTGACTCTGAAGAATCGAGCTTCGTCGAAGGACTCCGCCAAAAAAGACAATCTAGAAACAGAAGACAAGGTGGAGGTGGAGGTGGGCGAGGTGGTGGTGGTAGCGGAGGAAGAGGATCCCAGGGAGGAAGATCTGGAGAGGACGGAAGAAAGAAGAGAAATTCTGGAGAGAACACATCTGGTGGAAAGAGTGGCGACTACTCAAACCCACAAACTAATAAAACTTGTCAAGGACCACCTGCCCAATGTTCGGATCCAGTTCACGACCGTATTAGATCTATCACCGGATACTGTAACAATCGTGGAAAGCCAACACAAGCCAACTCGGTGACAGCGATCAGAAGATTGTTAGGAACTACTAGTTATACCGATGGTGAGTGATTTTTACTCATTCTTTGAGTAACCGTAGTAAGCTACCGTAATAGAAATTTCCGTAAACCATAGTCACCGTAATAACCTTAATAAGCTACCATAGTAGACACTTCTGCCAGCTATAGCTACCGGAGTAAGCTTAAGCTACCGTAATAGAAACTTCTGTAAGCTATCGCTGCTGTAATAAGCTTAAGCTACCGTAATAGGAATTTCAGCTAGGCTATAGCTGCCGAAGTAAGCTTAAGCAACCGTAATAGAAACTTCTGCAAGCTATCGATACTGTAATGAGCTTGAGCTACCGTAATAGAAATT